CAATTCCATGTTGGTAAGATTTTGCAAGATTCAACACAACTGTCAAAAGTGCATCTGACTGCTTGGCATACTTTATGCGCATGTCCAATGATGGCTGGTCTTCTTGTCAAGAGCTACAGGAGTTATCCCAAATTGTGAGTCCTGAAGCCAAGTCTCAGTTTGCCTCATGGGTTCAATGGTGCCCTGATCCATGTGAGATTGCCCGAACAAGCTTTGAATTTGTGACCTCTTTGCTTGGACAAAGAGCTAGCAGCTACGCCTCCCTATTGCTCTGCCAACATGCTCTCAGATGCCCCTCACATGGAAGTGAGGAGAATGAAACGTGATTGGCAAGCACATGTGCAGCTGGAAACCAGCACTGCAGAGCAGGCTTCTCAATTGGCTAAAGATCTCAGGATCACTTTGCCCAGTCCAATGCGTTTGGTCATGTTGACAGTTGAAACTGTGGGATGGCAAATTGATGACCCACATGCTTCGGGAGCCCTTCGAATGTTGGGGTGCATGTTGAAGCGCCTTCCTGATTTTAAGCTGATTGAAGACTACCATCAGAGGCTGAAAGCAAAACAGCGTAATGGTGCTCATCATCAAAAGAGACGTTTGTCATCATTCCAACACATTCAGAACTTCTCAGATGAATTGCTTGCTGCCCGTGATGTTGTTCACCCAACAATTACTGAAGGAATCTTCAGAACCAAATACCGCCAGACCAACAGCAAGAGCTTTAGTGAGGCCAAGCACATGAACTCAAGGAGGCACAAACTTGCCAAAGACTTCCAGGTCATCATGAGTCCCAAGCGTGATTGGTCTACATTGACGGTGGCTTCTCTTCGGAAATCAGCAGCAGGTTGGCAGTGGATAAAGCATTATCTTGGTTAACAGCTTTGGCAGCAAAACATTCCAATCAAGGCTTGGTCACTCTCCTTTTGGCAAACTGTCCTCAGAAAGGATCATAACTTTTTATTTGCAGAAGTAACTGTTGAATTATCAAGAATGATTTGCCCTTTGACATTGTGTTTTCTGTAGTCATGTTTTGTGTCCCCTGTCCCTTGCATGTGCAGGCTGCTTTGCTGAATGTTCTATGCCAGGAAGGCTTGGTCATCAAGAAGATTGGAACTGAAGTCCCGGTTTTGGTGCTGGCCCAACACTGCTGGGCCACTTTGACATGGCCATTGGCGATGGGGCATCAGGAGCAGCACTTCTTTTTGGTACCAAATGGAGCAGTCCAGTGGCTTTATTGTTACAACCCAGAGGTCTACCTTGCGTTGCCTGTCAAGGCTCGTTGGGGAGACCAAGGTGTTTTCATTGCTACAGCTGCGAACAAGTTCTTTATCGGGCTGAGTGTGGCAAGCAGAAGGAGGTGTCGCGGTTGAAGGTGAAGCAGACATGCTGAGCTGTTTGTTAGAGCAGTTGGATAAGGACGAGCAGGAAGAGTACAAGAGTCTGAAAAAGAAGTCAAATGAAGAGATAAACTATCGTCAGCAAGAGAAGTGGAGCCAGTGGCACAAGGAGAAGATTCAGGAGAAGAAGGACAGAAGCTTCAAGTTGTCTCTGAACTGTTGTTAAATATAAATCTGTTCAATATTACCAGATGAAAAAACTAAGTAGGCGGGTGAATAGCTACAATAATATGAATGAAAATGCTGTCACAGAAACACACCTGTAGGAAAAAAGGAATTGCCGGCAGAGAAGAAGAGGTTGAAAGCAGAAGCCAAAGAGAAACCGAAAGGGAAAAGGAAGGCTGTGAAGCCACAGGCAAAAGCGAAGAAGAGATTGAAGTCAAGCGATGGCAGTGCTCTGCCAACACATACTGCTGAGGAGGATGCGCCTGATGCTAGTGTCAAAGAAGAATCAATTGTCATTGAGGATGAGGAGGAGCTTGAGTCAATTGGTGTCAGAGAAGTTGTCATTGAGGAGGATCAGCCACAGCTTGAGTCACATGACAATGGTCAAGCGTCCTTGCCAAATGACATTGGTCAGATGGCTGGTTCAAGTGCTTCTGCTGAACAAGCAGGTGTTCCTCCTTTGGCTGAGCTCCCTGTGTCAATTAAAAATTCTGAAGTGCCTCAACCGCCCTTGGATTCAGGTGCATGTGCTGAACCAGCTGGCGCTCCTCCTGCAAGTTCAAGCGCAGCAAGTTCAAGCGCTCCTGCTGCCCCTCCAGCGCCTGAGGAGCCTGCGCGACCTAGGGGCCCCAAAGCTGCATCACTGAGACTGCTTGTGTGGACTGACATTGACTGCCCATCGTGCCATTCGACTGCAGGCCAAATAAAATACTCACCTGGTCCAGGAAGGCTTGGCGCATCTGATCCACCTTGCTGGTTCATGCGGGTCAATCAGAGACCTGATGGAGGGTGGCCCAACCAAGGCCCCCATTTTAGACGTCGCAGTGTGTCAGTGGTGGGAGGCGAAGACAAATTTGCCATCAGCTGGGTCTTGAAGAACAAGACCTGCTGCAAAGGGTCAGCGTGACATCCGTCATATGATAGAAATGGATTCGGGAGTCTGGGAGCGCTTGCTTTGACTTTGACACTCGCTGAGTTTGGATTGATTCAAGTTTATTAGCTTAGCAGGTTTGAGATGTCCAGTTCATTGATCATGTCATTTAATGGTAGGCTGTTTGTTGTTCATTGTTGATGTCTAGTCATTGGTTTTCACGCTGCAAACATCATTGGTAAACCTGCATTCTGTCATTGGTCCAAGAAGCAGCAACGGACTTAGCTACCTCTAAAGGGCATGCTGAGCGACTCTATTTAGAAACAGGGTTCAAGGATTCAGGATGAGAGTCTCATTTTAACCAATCTTCAACATGTTAAATTGCATCTAAAGTCATTTGAGTTCATTACATTGAAAGTGACTGTCTGCAATTGATGCAATGGTGAAGCATTCAAGTCGGGTGGCTTCTTCAGTGGATATGCTGCCATAGTACTATGGATTGATGTCCATGTTGTCTTCTAATGCCATGACTCATGGTGCCAATGCCAACGGAGTCAAGGTGAAAGGCAAAAGAATTCTAGGAACCAAGAGAAGAAGAAAGTTGAATCACTTGACAATTTGACTGCCGTAACTACTGCTACTTCAATGACGTCAACGCCTTCTGATTCAACTGGCAAGTTGGAGATGGGGCAAAAGGAAGTGAAACTCCTGCAGCTCTTCCACAAGGTTTCAATGTATGACCTCGATGACTTGGGTCACATCTTTGACTTTCAGAGGTGGGAAATTAAACATGCTTAAACCAAGTTCAAATATGTTCAAATGTTTCAATTTGGGTCAGGCTCAACTCAAGGACAACAACTTTCACTGTTATAGCTCAGTTCAGTTCACACCTGTGATGGAGTTTTTTGGTGTTACTGTTCATGACTGTGCTGTGTGCAGGGTGGGTCAATTGGTGGGTTCATCAACAAGTGAACTTTTGGAGCGAATTGAGTTGATTCACTTCGTGGAAGTCAAGCAATGCAGCACTGGCACTCGGTCCTCGAGGCAGTCTTTCCAGAGCTTCAAGAGTAAGAGTTGAGTTTGAAGAATAGGCTCGCAGCATTGATTCAGTGTGGCAAGAGGAACATGGCCGCTTCCAAGTTCACTTTTGTGGAATACTTCAGTGGCTGTGGCAACTTGACCAAATCGTTTCTGGCGCAAGAACATTTGGGAGCAGCTTTCGATTTCAAGCACACTTCGAACCATGACTGTTTGACAGTTGAAGGATTGCGACTCTGGTTTGCAGCTCTGCTGAGCTGTGGTCCAAAGAGCTTCGTTTGGTTTGCAATTGAATGCAGTTCGTGGGTACCACTATGTTTGAGCCAGAGCTTGCGACACGAGTCCAATGGGTACCTTGGCGACACTTCCAAAGTGTTCATTCAAAATGGAAATGCACAAATGGTGGTCAGCTCACTGTTGATGTTTGTGGCATGTCTTTTGGGGCACATTGTGAGTCTCGAGCAACCGCTCGGTAGCATGTTACCACTTTGTGATCTCATGGACACAGTCTTGAAATACATTGGCATGTCCAAGACGGTTTGCTACTTGGGCGCCTACGGTGCAAAATCCGTCAAGCCTGCGCAGCTTTGGTCAACGTCGTCTGGATTGGTGGCCTTGGAAACAGGGAAACCTTCATGTCCAGAAGAGCTTGCTCAGAGAGGCAATGATGGTCAATACACAGGCAAGAAAGATTTGCTGGCAGAAAGCGAACAATATCCTATTTTGTTTTGCTCACTCCTGGCAGATTTGTTTGTCTGTGGACGCTTGTGAGCACATGTGGCAGTTTAATTCATATGTTTAGTTGCTGGTTGATAGAACCAGTGTTTGCATCACTGGGGTGGAGTGTGAGCGAAAAGACTGATGTCAACTCAATTCTTTGGATTCATTCCATGTCAATGTCTTAATTCACTTCTGGGAGCCCACTTTGATTTGCACTTGTTCGGAAGTGTGCTGGAAACTTAGGCTTGCAGACTTTGCGCAGTCATCTCAGTAACAGAGATTTGAAATGAGACACCCAAATTCTTAGTTTGCTTGCATTTTGACCAACTGAGGCATGAGTCATTTGACAATTGGCTTCTGACAGGTGATGTGTACTGGGTAGATGTTCAAAGACTCTTATGTAAACAAACGATGTTTTTGTTTTCTTGACTGGCAAACATTTCCCTTACCAAAGTTTAGGGTTACAAGAAAACAAAACCATGCATAGTGGTACTAAAAAGTTTTATGAGCTGGAACGTGTTGCTAACAAATTAAAAAACATTGAAACATATCAATCAATTCAACTTTAATCTCGAACAAACATACTTTAATCTCAAAGACCTTTATCTACTTGACAATGAATCAAAACTGTATACCTCAGTAATATAACCTAAATTAGGGAAAGGTGACTGATCTAACCCCTGCTGATCTAAGTGCTGGATTGGTTCAAGTGATTCCTCTTTTCATCTCCTTTTTGTTATTTCATTTTGGATATGTAACCCAATGGATTAGAATGGATGAGGGAAAACATGGCAACCCTCCTTTGGCACCTCATCGCTCGTGGAAGCGTCAGTGCCAGCATCAAACGGGTCTGGCCTCAGCGCAGTAGCGAAAGCCCGCTTAGAAAGTCGAAAGGAGCTCAAAACAATAGCCACCCAAGCACATCTGTCTTCCAGAGAGTGCGTGGCACGCGAGTTTACCCCATACGGACTGTGTCTCCTGCCAAAGAACTCCGGCTGAACGCCTCTCAGACTCCTCTGATTCGTCTTCGAACTCCTGCAGCGAGTTGCTGATAAAACTAAGCAAAGGAACCAAAAGTCTGATTGCAGTTGACACTTTCACCATTTCATGACAGATTCTCACATTTTCTACCGCGGCCGCCAGGGCCCTTGAGTGCACATAGATGCTACGACCCCCGACTTGTTAGGAAAACAGGTTCCAGACTTCGTGCGCTGTTCAACCTGGACACTTTGATTGGTAGCGGAGCTGGCGACGCTCCTGACGGAAGGTTTTGAGGGTGATCTACTTGCTTGAATTCGACTTCGTTTTCCTCTAGAAGTTGAAGGGTGTGATCATCGCCTATGTCGGGCATGGAAAGAAGCCCGCGAAGAACGCCTGTCCGTCGTGCCAGGACCTCACATCCTGGAAGAGCCAGCCAAGTGGAAGAAGGCGATCAAGGTCATGGTGTTCTTTTTGCAAATGTTGGAAGAGAGGAGCCAGGACCACAGTTGCCTTTCGCTCCACAACACAGCAAGGGATTGGATTCAGGTCTTGCTAAAGCATGCCCCTCTTCGGAGAACCTCACACAGAAGACGTACAGAAGCTACAGGAGACGCCTTGAACTTTTTCAGAAGCAGTGCGACCGTCGTGGTCGTGACACGGCTGTTGAAGGTGCTTTCTTGGTCATCAGCCGACTTCGAGATGTTGCTTGGGACGCCACTGAGCAGCTTAGCTTCGATGAGGTTGAACGTGCTGTAGATCCCTTCAAGCACGTCTTTCGTCTCTTGGATGAGCTCTACCAGTATGAAGATTTGATTGAGGTTCCTTCCCGCTGTGATGAGTTCTTCTCCGACTTTTCCAGGAAGAAGGGAGAGGAGCTCCAGGCTTACTTGATTCGTCATCGAACCCTTCTGAAGCGCATGAAAGAGGTGAACGTGGAAGTACCTCCTCTTCTTTCAGGTTGGCACCTCCTCACACGCGCTGGTGTTCCTCGCTGGACTCATGTCCAGATCAAGTCCATGTGTGCCGGTGATTTGGACTACGACAAAGTTGGAAAAGCTTTGATCCGAATGTTCGGAGGAGATCATGTCCCGAGTGCTCGTGATCTGTTGGTTCGAAGCACCAATACCGGCAAGGACGAGGTGTACTATGAGGACGAGGAGGACACCTGGTTCGATGAAAATGAAGAAGTATGGTATGAGTCAGAATGGGCCGATGAAGAGGCCTATGAAGCTTTTGAGCATGAAGAAGATGAAGACGCCATCCCCGAGGAGCTTGAAGAAGCTATGGACCAGGCAGATGAGGCCTACGTATCCTATGTGGAGAGCAGAAAACGAATGAAGGAGCTTGCACTTTCCAGAGGTTTCTACCCCGTCGTTGCTCTTGGACCTGACTTCGAACGTTCTGGAAGTCGATTCCCTAAGGGAGATGGCAAAGGAAACAAAGGAAAAGGGAAGTCAGGAGGTGGAAAAGGCAAGAGCAAAGGAAAGGGCAAAGGTGGTGGATTCATGAGGCGGACACCTTTCAATCGGCGACCTATGTCAGGTTTGAGACGGCCTCCATCGAACACCACAAGCTCCAGCAATGGTGACAAGTCCACCCTCTCTGGTTCAACTGCTCAGCACGGACCGCGTTTCAAGCGGTATCGAAGTCAAGCATCTGGCATCAAAGAAGTCCCTGAAGAGGTCACCATGGTTGAGGAGGAGTTGATGCTTGAGAGTGTGACCACCTATGACACCGTGCCTGAGGAGCAGTGTTTCTTTACTGTTTCCGCTTGTGGCAAAGCCATCGTGGACAGTGGTGCAACCAGGACCATTGTGGGTGAGAATGTTTGGCACCGATGGCTTGAAGTCTATGGCAACGATCAGACGAAACCCGTTGTCACTCGTCCCAAGGTGCGCAATTTCAAGTTCGGTGGTGGTGAACCTGACAGCTTCGATCGTCCCAGGGGACACGCCTTTCTTGCTTGCTCGCCCTACGCTTGAAGAGTGGGGTGTGATACACAACTACAAGGACAACCGCATGAAGATAGGGGATTCCGATTGGTTCAATCCGGAACGCAACGAGAGAGGTCACTTCATTCTCGACCTCATGATGTACCAGAGTGCCTTTGTGACTGAAGAGATCTATGTCCAGATCGAGGACCGGGATGTGATGGGCATTGAGCCTGATACTATGATCATTGATGATGGACCCCATGATGTTTGGAGCATTGAACCTACGATGGAAACAGAAGCCAAAGCCATGAAGAATGACCACATCATTGAGAATGACCACAACAATGAGGAGACCTTCGAAGTGGATGATGCGGCTGAACGAGCCGTGAAGCGTCTGCAAGAAGGAAAGAAGTTGAAGTTCTTTGAGGTCTACGTTGACCAGGGGAATCTTGCAGTCCATTTGTCCAAAAGATCTGATGTGGAGGTGTCGACATTCACCCTTCCTGAATGGGACTTCACGGACAAAGAGGTCAGAAAGGAGTTCATCGAGCTGATCCGCGAAGTGTCTCCCGATTTCATTTGGGTGGCGCCTCCTTGTCGAAAATGGTCTGCAATTCAACGTTTGAACAGAAGGACCCCTGAGCAACGGAAGAAGCTAGATCAAGAGAGAGATGATGATGAGAAAACACACTTGAAGCTCGTGGATGACGTGTCGCTGGTGACCAAGGAGATCGACAGTGACTATGCCATGGAACATCCACATGGAGCTGAATCTTGGCAGACAGAAACTATGAAGAGCATGAGAGGTTACTTCGAAGGCATATGTGACAGATGCAGAACTGGTTTGTACTACAAGACAGAGCACCAAGAAGGACCAGTTCGAAAACAAACACGCGTGAGAACAAGTTCACGAATCGTGGCTGAAGCATTGCATCTTCCCTGCACTTGCAAGCAAAAGCATGTTCAGATGGATGGCAAGTCTCAGAAACTTCGTGACATGCAGAACTATGAGCCTGGGTTCACCAAGATTGCCTCAGATGCCATCTACAAGTGCATGGAAGAGAATTGGCGAAAGAAGGAAATAGCCAGAATTTTAGTGGCTGAAGAAGTGGAGAAAGAGACCAAGAGCCGTGAGGTGACAAAGAAAGATGTTGAAACAGCAAAGCTTCATCCGAAAACAGCTCTTTCGATTGTGGCCAAACTTCATCGACAACTTGGCCATCCCGGAAGAGATCGCTTGATGACCGCCTTGAAAGAAGCTGGCTTGCATGACGATTTGCTTGAAGTCGCCAAGAACTATCAGTGCGACATCTGTCAGAACTTCACAAACAAGAAGCCAGCAAAAGCATCTGCTCTTCCTTTGGCGAGAAAGTTCAACGAGATTCTTGAGATGGACATCTTCCACATCCGGTGGGACGACAAGAAGCTGCGAGTCCTAGCCCTCATCGATCTTTTCTCGCGATATGAGATGAATGCTGAAGTTTCTGCAGAGACAGAGAAGGAAGAGCTGAAGGTCATTGAAGAATGGATCAACGTCTTCGGATGCCCACAGCAGATCCGAACTGATGCTTCAGGAGCCCACATGAGTGAAGCTTTCCTGAACTACATGGATGATCGGAACATCAAGCTCATTTTGATTCCATGTGATGCACATCACAAGATGGGAACTGTTGAACGATTGCATGCAGTGAGGCGTCTACAACTTCTCAAGATGAAGCAAGAGACTCCAAGTCTAAAGCTTTCAGATGCAGCCCCACTGGCCTGTTCCCTTCGGAATCGTTTGAGATCAGTTCACGGATCTTCACCTTCTCAAATTGTCTTCGGATCCAATGCTGGAGATTTGGGACTGATGGATGAGCCAATGACCAATGCAGCTGAGCCAACAAAGCAATACCAGCAATTGCAACAACTACGTTTGCAAGCTGCCAAGGCCTTCTATGATGCAAATTACAGTACAACCTTGAGGAAGGCATTGCTCAGCAAAAGTCGTGCAGAAGCCACTCAGTTCTTCGTGGGAGATTGGGTCTACTACTGGCGTGAAGGTGATTCAAAGTTGGAAGTCAGTCGTTGGCGTGGCCCGGCACTCATTTGCAGTATGCAACCCCGAGGGATGACCGACTCTGATGCTGGTCCTCGCCCCGATGTTTACTGGCTGGCCCATGGGAGCGCTCTTCTTCGTGTGAGCCATGCTTCTTTGAGAGCCGAAACACCCATGGAGCGCCAAGCTCGTTTGGTTCACCTTCCATCTACTGCCCGAACACAGGATGTTCAGACTACGGTTCGGCAACTTCTCCGTCCCGTGCGGGGGCCCGTCCGATTTCTTGACCTCCTTGGGGACCCACCTTTTGCTGACGCAACGGGCAATGATGAACCACCGCCAGATGAAACGACTCCCAATCAAGATGCTGAAAATGATGAACAACAGGGAGAAAAGGTTCAAGAAGCCTTGGATGGGTCAGGTACAGCAGAAGCAGAAACAGAGCAGCCGCAGCACGAACAGCAGCAGCGTACAGAACGACAGCTACAGCAGAATACAGAACCACACGCCGCTGCAGAGGCACAAACGACAACGGCAGCTGCAGAAGCGACAGCACAAACCACACCTGACCCTGATGATGAGACGATGACTGAAGTGAAGAAGAGGAGCCACCCTGTTGAGGCTGACCCTGAGGAGAGACCTGCTCAAATGGCTCGAGGATCCGACAATCAGGGTCCAGATGAGGCATTTATGCCTGAAGTCGCTCGCTCAAGAAGTCCTCTTCCCCGAGATGATCGCAGTTTGGCATTTCAGTCATACAATCTCTCCCGACAGCTGGATGGCCTACCACCTGTTCAAGAGAATGACCCTGCATTTCAGCGCTTCATGGACGTCACAGGTCCTATGACCGAAGACGAGGCACTGATGGCCGAGTCCTTCAATGAGAAGAAGTTAAGTGCTGAAGATCGCAAGGCTTTCGATGCCGCCAAGGATGCAGCCTTGATGGTTTGGATTGAGAACAAGGCCTGGAAAGCTGTCCCAGAGTCAGAAGCCCAGGAGGGCGAAGTTGTGCCTGCACGTTTTCTTCAAAGATGGAAGCCCACGGCAGATGGACATGTCGCCAATGCTCGAGTCATTTTGCAAGGCTTCCGACATATCGATGTGTTGAGTGAGAACTTGGTTCGTGAATCTCCCACACTGAGTCGCTTGGGCCGCATGATGATCATGGTGTGGGCAACGCATCGATCCTGGAAGTTGTGGTGTGCAGACATCAAGTCCGCATTCATGCAGGCTGATTCGATTGATGACAGCACAAGAATTTTTGTGAGACCACCTGCCGACATGAGACGTCGTTTGGAACGCCTCATGGGACTTCGACCTCATGAGATTCTGAAAGCAACCAAGCCCGCATTTGGTGATGTTCGAGCACCAAGACAGTGGTTCGACACGGCAGACACCTACCTCATCTCCGATTTGAAGCTCATCAGTCATCCACTTGATCGCTGCTTGTATCTTTCCTTGCGCAAAGCTCACCAGGAGGATGATGAATTCCTCACCTTTCGCATGGGAGAAGAGTGGTACATTGTGGATGGTGTACTTGGTTTGCACGTTGATGATTTCATTGGAGCTGGAGAGAATGTCTCAGCGCTGCAAGATGTGAAACAAGATCCCGCTGGAGTGTGTGATTGTTTTCAGCACCGCATGTTCTATCTTTCCTCCCGTTTTCGCTTTGGCAGTTGGGATTTTGGAGAGAAGATGCGTTTTTGTTGAGCTGAAGTGAAGCACACCAGCGATTTCGAGACCATCACTGTTTCATTGCAGCAATACGTGAACAAGATCAAACCTCTCAGCCTTGAAAAGTCTCGAAAAGTCATGGTTGACGACTTTTGCACTGACCGCGAACACAAGCAGTTGAGGGCATTGGTTGGTGCTATGTCATGGCCAGTGACACAATGTCTCCCACAAGCCGCAGCTACAATCAGTTTGCTACAAGCCAACATCAACAAGCCTATGGTCCGTGACATGCTGGAAGCAAACAAATGCTTGCGATTCCTGAAGGATGTGGTGAAGAACTACGTCTTCACGCTGAGAAAGCATTGTTCCTTGGACCAACTCCGTGTTAGCTTGTACTGTGATGCTGCTTGGTCTGTCAGGCCTGATGGCAGTTCGCAGGGAGGCATGATGATGTTTTTGGCAAGCCAATCCGAGCTGGACAGCAATGAACCGTTCCCTTTGACGATCATCGATTGGTCCAGCAAGAAGTTGATCAGGATGTGTCGCAGCAGCCTTTCAGCCGAAGCACAGTCCGCCACGATAGCAGTTGATGAGCTTGAGTGGACGAAAGTTTTCATGGCTGCAATGGTCGACCCAAGTGTTCCAATCCAGGAGGATGAGACCATGCTCAAGTTTGGAGGTTCAGCCGTCATCACTGACGCGAAGGCTCTCTTCGATAGCACGACCTCTGTCACTTCAGGACTCAAGCTTTCTGAGCGAAGGACTGCCATTGAGATTTGTATCCTTCGTGAGCGCTTGGCAGCATCCGGTTCAACAGTTCGTTGGTGCAATTCATTGCAGCAGCTTGCCGATGGGTTGACGAAGGGCAGTTCAAAAGACACTCTAGCACACGTGCTCTCTCGAGGTGTGCATTCCCTTCGATTCGATCCTGGTTTTGTGGCCGCCAAGAAAGTGTCGAAAGCAGATCGCATCATTGAGGAGAAGGAGCTGGAGAAGGCAGCCGAAAGTCTCTTTGATGGTCAGATTTGTTTTGCTGAAGATCCACGAGAAAAAGAACGTGATGGACTATGTCGACTACCAGGTTGCAAGAAGAAGAAAGAAGAAGGAAATGAAAAGAATGCCTATTGCTCCCGACGGCACTACTACTTGCACCAGTTTCGCAAGGGCAATGGTGGAAATGAATGGGAGAAAGCCGCCATTTGTGCTCTCTCCATCCTCGCATGTGAGAACGTCCCTGGAGCCGAGGCAACCAAACAAGATGAGAGTGATGACAACCGCTTTTACAATACAATGTTGGTGATTGTGGTTTTTGCTTTCATTGGTGCATTGAGTTCCTTGCAGATGATTTTTGCGTGGTTGAGCAAAGCTGCACAGAAGGTCAGAGCCATGCTCGTGCTTGAGTATGACGTGGTTCATGAGAATGTGCAGGTTGTTGAGAATGAGGAGCCACCAGCCGTAGGTTTGAGCCATGGCGTGATTGCGAATAACCCAGCCAATGAGAATGACATGAGCTCTGACGATGATGACTACCATGGAAACTTCACAAGTGAAGAGGTCATCCGTTGGGACACGCTCTACACCGAGACTCTAGAAGAAAGAGGACAACGAAAGTGGCTGGAAATCACAAAGATGCTTTGGACAGAGAATTTCACTGCCTCTATGCGTGGGCATCTCATTCAGCACATGCAGCCGAAAGTGAGAATGGAAGCATACCTTTCTTTGACCCTGAGAAAGAAAACTGAAGAAGCAAGCAATGAAGAGGTGAAGCAGTGGCATCGTTGGCTGAACAGCCATTTCGCTTTGATCGCAGAGATTCACATGGATGTCAGGAAGAAAGATGATGAGATCAAGAACCTCACAAACCAACTCCTGGTTCATGAACTTGCGAGTGATCCGCACCGTCGCCAGGTGGAACGATTTCGAAACAATGAGATCATAGAAAAGATGCAGCAAACAGCTCTCACCTACGACCATGAAAATGACCAGATGAACCGTCTTGAAGGACGAACCCATGGTGCGTGGATGTTCGTGAGTACCTACGAGAGCGGACTCAAGAAATGAGAGCCGGGCCCATTTTTGAATTTTCTTCGAAGACCAAATTTGAGTGGAATTTCTTTAAGCTTCCACCGGTCTGATTGCAGTTGACACTTTCACCATTTCATGACAGATTCTCACATTTTCTACCGCGGCCGCCAGGGCCCTTGAGTGCACATAGATGCTACGACCCCCGACTTGTTAGGAAAACAGGTTCCAGACTTCGTGCGCTGTTCAACCTGGACACTTTGAAAAAGAACATCACAGGGATCCATGGGTCAACAAAGCTGCAAAGGATATCCATTCGTGCCCTCGTGAGGCTTGCTCTACCAGTCGTTACATGAATGGTCATGTCACATGTCGCAGCTCCCACACCGATGGACCGATGATCGACCCAAGAGCGGTCCAATCATGCCCTCAACCGAGATTGTGAGAACCTCCAAACACCGCAAATCATGCCTCTTCAGGAGGTGGCGACATGCCCTGCAAACAAAAAGGAACCCGGAACTCGGATGACCGCTAGGGTTGGAGGCCATCGCCCGAACGGCTTTGCCTCACTGACCACGAACCCGGTGGACTTCGCAACTTGGAGCCCAAGATGTCAGCTACGCGCAAACAGAATGCAGAACACCCAAAACCAAAGAGATACCTTTGCACAAACGCCAAGAACTAAGCATGACATCATGTATGACTCACCATTCTGGGACAACTGACGGGATAGAGCTATAGGAACCTCATGATGAAGGAAATCAGTATAATATATATTATATATACGATATATATTATATATATGTATTTATAGCTAATAGTGACTCCTTCTTCTCGCGATCAGCAGCTGGACTCACAAAGTAGCAGACTTTTTTTGTCATGTTCAGGCTTGCGAACGTAGCTGTATGGTGCAAGTAGCGGCCCAATGGCACGTTGCCTTGGAATTGTCGGCAAGAGGTCGGAAGATGTATTTCCTTTCTTGGAAGGTGTATTTTGTTTGCAAATCAGGAACACGCATAGAATATCATAGAATGATATAGAATGTGTGGAATGTTCGGGTCGAGCATCTGAAGTGCAAGCGTGGACCTTCAGCAGTGTCGCGCACCTCCACAGGAGAGTTCTCACCTCAGCTCACTTCACAGCTGTGGCACTCGCCAACTAGTATCGCACTGATCAATCGGAGAATTCTGTTGCGACCATGAAAGGTCTGAAAGGTCGTTGTAACGAGAAAACCAAACAGTAATGGTGCTGGAATGACAAAAACGGAGTTCTTCTGAAGGATGGGACAGGAAACCTTGAAAAGGTTTCTCTTGCAAGCCTCCCGCTATCCTCCCTGCCCTCCCTGTTTGGACTGTTGGTCTTCATGAATGTGAATGTAAAGGTTCCCAATCAAAGGCTTGTAAAGGTTTCCAGTTTCTTAGCAAAACGCATAGTGGTAGGTCACTGCTGGGGCCCCAGCCTTCAGCCAATGTGATGTTGTCTATGCTAGCATCTTGTGTTAGCAGCTGGCGGGCATAGTTCATCATCGCTCCCGCTGACATGGAGATCAAAGACTCCGCTGCATTCAGCATTGTGGCGGGGACCTTCCAAGTTGCCATGGTCATTGTCGAAGACTTAAAGTTTAAGGGTCTGAGAGGAAAGTCTCAGAGTGCACGCAGCGGCGACTTTGGGAGACTTCCGCTGTCCCTCTCTGTACCTCTCTTGCACATTTAAATCTGCATTCAATCATTCATATAATGCCTTTTGAGGGTTGCTTGAGCATCGATATGTTTTCTCTAGATACGCACCGTGTTGGTGTCGGAGCTCAAAACTCAAAACATAAAACATGTTTCCAATTACAATTGAATGCAAAGGGGAAGCAAGTGAAACAAAAATGAATGAACACTGCCTTTTGCCGAAGCATCTTTGCTACAGTGATCCGCAGCACCAGGAGCAATGCAGCTTGGCCATCGACCCTCTGCAAGCTCTCCGCGTGATTGTCCAGTTCTCCACCTTCAGGTCACAGCAAGAAGGTCCAAAACAAGCTCCCAGTAAATTCTGCCACAGTGTAGTAGTACTAATCTGTATCTCACATGCATGAAAAACCGTGTTTGTTGAGTACAGGACGTTGCCTGTAAGGTATTTTAAGGAGCGGCTGAAACAAAACCATTGCATGCCTGGCCCTCCTTACCCAGAGCGGTTTTGTGGTATGGAATGCCTCTGGATATCACTTCGGGCTGCGGGTTTTCTGTTCCCCCATAAGTTGTTCTTCAAAGCAAAGCATGCGAGGCTTCTACTCCTGTGTTTCTTCAGGACACGCAATAAAACCCTGTCTGCAAGGTCCCTTCTTGGTCACACTCCGAACCACCGATGAAACGTGCGGGCATCCGGCCTGCGTCTTGCCAAATGCGGGAACGGTTGCTCCAGTGTGACGCAGCATCAAGATAATCGTAGAGTCCAAGAATGCCAGCAGAGCCCGAAGTGTTCGAGGATGCTCTGACCTAAGGCGTTCAAGCTCAGCTCGAAGCAAAGCGCCCTTGCTCTAAGGGCCTTACTTGCAGATCTGCCACCAACCAGGGCAGAGGCAAACGGCCTCTGTTGCCCAACGACTCTCTTCCTCCGGTCCTCGATCCATCTCGGGAGGTGGACGGTTGCGAACCAAAGGCAAGAATCGGCTAGGCCAAAGCCGAGTGCAACGCATCTGACATCGCACTCCCTCCTTCGTACTTCTTCCAGTTTCTTAAAACCCTCTGGAGTGGAGATCTTCCACACATCGAAACCTGACCAGTTGCGAATCGATTCACAGAAAAGCTGCTCCGGGCGTGGCGTGGTATAGGCATGTATTGCTGCGGACTGTGTGCAAACGACCGAAGAATGAATCGACAAAGACATACAAAGACAGGCACTGTAAATTTCCAAAACTTGGTGGCACAAACACCTTCCAGCCTCTGAAGGTTCAAGCATTACAATTGCATAAGAGTGTTTCGGCGGTCTGCTCTGAGGTCACCACTGAAGGCGAGGCCGAACAAAGGAATCAAATTCCAAGACTTGCATTCGCCCGCTCGCTGCACGAATGTGTTCGGCCAGCCTGACGAAGGAACGGCCGAACTGGCTACAGCACTAAATATAGCGATGTATACCGTGTTCATCCGTGTTCCTGTGATCGACAAAGTTCGGTGAAGGCCCACGGAAATTGCCTGATCCCCGCAGGAGCTCGCTATAGCCGGAGACCTCCACTATCGCGTCGAAAGGAAGCTGTATTGCCATCATCACATGCTCACCTTGTCAAAACAAACGAGACATATGGTGTCTTGCGAGTTGCTTCGGGAGACACACTGAGTTAAACCGAATGCGGCACTGTTCGTCGTACCGCTTTGCGAACTGGTTTCCAGACAGAACTCGGTGCATTCTGAGGATGTGGCATACAAACTCCTCCGTGTGCCAGGCACCATCTGAGAAATGCAGTGGCAGTGGATCCTGCAACCCAAAGCTGATATCAACAAACCTCAAACGTATAGAAAACGTCAAGCCGATCTCAAACAAATGGTCACGCAAAAACCCTTAGCGGCAATTTCGTGGGGAGTCATGATTTGAGTCAAAGAAGGAATTTGCAAAGAAGAGATTTGCCGTTTTTCAGAGGCAAAAGTATTCAGTTTTGAAAGTCTGCAAACGTGAGCCTTCACGATCTCTGCAAACCCTATGTCAAATACATTCAAATTTTGCCATTGGTCCGCCCAGAGACCTGAGCATAAGTGTCTTTGCAGAAGTGCATGACCTGTCGAGGTGTGGGGGGATGCTGTCGATAGGTGTGGACGTCGATAAGCTCGACAAGCAAAAAGCTTGATAAGCTACAAAAAATTTCGAAGGTAGGAAGCTACTAGGAACAAGAGCATTGCTACTAGTAACAAGTGCCTTACTAGTAGTAACAATAAAGCTACTAGTAACAAGTGCATCGCTACTAGTAACAAGTGCCTTACTAGTAGTAACAAGAAGCTAGTAGGAACAAGTGCGTAAACCGAAACTTGCCTCGCTCGCGTCCGGACCCAAGGTGCGAACATTCTCCTAAAAAACGAAAAGGTCTCGAAAGAAGGATTTAACAATAAATAACGTTTAACAACATCAAACAGTGTAGTTTTGAAATCACCTCAGTTTCAGCACGTGAAGTCTTGCGGCATCTTCAGGAAAAGTAACTGTTGCAATAATGGAGCGCAGCAGCCGAGTCTGCTTGCTACTTACCAATAGAGTGAGTTGCGTTCAATCCTACCTTTCCAAAGGGCTTGAGTCAAATGAACATCATTGGCTCCTCAAGAGTCTCACGCACCTCTGGCAAGTAGCACCTCACGATGTCTGCACATCTAATGAGGCCCTTTCTGTCATGGGGCCTACCGGGCCAGTTCAGATCTCTTGTTGCACTTGCAGCTCGAATGTGATTCAACAACTGAATTTAATAAAGTTTTCTGCCCAAAATTCCTCCCTGCCATGTAACGTGCAGTCAAGGCACTCAACAAATTGCTGGGACTTCACCTGCAATCATGAATATCCTAAATTCAATGGACCAGCAGTTCTTGAGGTATGAAGCACTTTTATGGTGCCCCCATGATGTTTGGATGCAAATCTGCCCATGCGCTGATCGTAGAAGGGAAGATAAACAAAGAGTATGCTGTATGACCAGGTGGCGTAAATGCTACGTACACTGTCCGTTTTGGAGATGTGGAGACCACACCGTTGACGGCCTCATTGTAGGCCCATCGACTGCGTTGAACGGATCCGGCATCACTGATACAAGCTCCCTGACTCTGGCCGCGGCGAAACCAGCCGTAGCAAGCATCGTTCACCCAAATGTATTCCTCGTCGGAACACCTGGAGGCGGGTGACATAACACAATCATAGACAAAGCTTGATACAATCTTTCCCAGCCTTTTGGCCAGCTGGGGACTAGAGTCACTAGAGCTAGAGCAAAGGAATGTGGCCCGAAGAGCCCCTCAGTTCCAACCCAAGTGGCCCCATCGTGATGCCCAGAATACACCGCCCTTCGAAGACTTCGGACCTTCTCAGCGATGCATTCAGCGAGGATGATGAAACGGACAGAATCAGGACGTCACAACAAATCAGTTGTGTTGCTATTTGAGTATCTGACTCCAAGGTCAAAGTGCATGGAAAAGGCGGTGGGAAGGCAAAGGAAGCTGAAAATCTCCTTCAACGTGTGCAAGATCGTGGAACATGTTCAGTTGCATATCAAGATACTGCCTGCTCTTACAAGTGCCACTTCGTTGCGAAACCACGAAGCAAGGAACAGTCGAACGATGCACAATGCAACAAAGGCACCCGGTGTCTCGCCTGTACACCTGGCACAATCGTCTCAAAAACTCTGAAGGGCATTGTTTCTATTTGTTTCTCATCATCGCGCCTGCAGCAGTTGATCCTCACGCAGACCGCGAATCATAGCATAGGGCTGTAGCAAGTCTTCAGTCTGCCTGGACCAAGTGCGTATCAAAGAAGCTCTTTAACCTTTTTTGTTTCAAACATTGTGTCTGAATAAAGTTGTGTGCATTCGGCGCATATTCTGCACTCTTCACGCTCCTGTCACGAACAAAGGAGTGCTTCGCCAAGAGTTGCTGCAATTTCGCGAGGACCGGAAAGGGCGAAGTGACAATCAAACCTCACAAAGTTCGTCACAGTACGTACAAACGAAGTCGAAAGCGCCAGGTTAAAAAGGTTTCATGACCAACAAAGCTATACTCATGCTGCTTGCTATTTCATCAAACTTGAAGGTAGGTCCCTTGCCAAAGTCTAAAAGCTTCAGAACTCCAAACAAACAGGAGCACAAGTTGCCAACAGCCAGACATCAGATCTTCCCCCTCACTCCGAAGGTTTGATTCGAAGCACCTTGAGCTGCAAGGCGATCTACATTGTCCACCAGCACTGGCCAGCGGTTTCTCGGCACATAGTGCGCCACATCCAACAACAAGGCCTTCGGGGATCTCGGGCGGATCTGCACTGACGTAAGCCAAGGCTCGTCCGTCCTACTTGCGTTTTCCGACTCTTCTATCGTCCGGGATGGAGCTTTGTTAAAGGAAACGGAAGCGCATTCTGCTCGGAATTGACCCAAGTGCCAAGTGTCCCAGTCGGCGGCCCTGGCCCAGGCCAACTTGTTGGGTTTGGAAAAGTTCCGCCGCGCGAGCCAAACCATGTGCTCGGCGTCCCAAGACCTCTCGGTGTGGACAAATGTCTGTAAACTCAGTTCACAGTCTTTGCTTCTTTAGACATCTTATTCCCTGTCTTCTCCCAATTAAGGCTTCTAAAATCAACTCATGGTTCACGAAACACCCATAAATCTCCGATCCTTTTATGTGTTCTCCACACATTGTTCTTTTCCAAACCGTACACCTTGGCTCCCACGCTGTGAGGCGTTGAAGACCAAGATCAATCCCCGGTCTTCGTCCAACACCGGGCTGAGGAAGAAGCCAAGGCATCCAGGAGTGTAGCAGCAGTTCAACAGACTCCTGGCTGAGCATGAAGACGCATGAAGTTGAAAACACATTATTAAAGAACGCGTCTTAAAAAGTGAATAACAAATATGTATTTGTTATGTTTTTCTTTTGTATATAATTCATTTTTTGCTGTATCTCACTTGGGGAACATGTTGCGATCTGACTAAGCTGCAGGCAGATCGACCACAAGTCTTTCAAGGCGTGACACTTCAACAACAGCGCAAAGAGCAAGACTCCCTGGATGCAACTCTGAGTTGATGCTATGGGTTTTGGATGGGCTAGGCTTGCTGTGTCAAATCCTAGGATGGTCCAGGAAAAACACTGGGAAATGCAAATCAACAATAGTTAAGAGTCAAAAAACCAAAACGTATCAAATGTCCTGAGGCCAAACAATCCGACTTGAAATGTCCTACATGTTTGTCTTGTGGGGTACCGCTGTCATCAACAGAGTAACCATACCTTCGAACACCCAGATATCGACCAGCTTCCCAGTTCATCTTTCGCATCCAGGAGTCTTGAAGGTCTCTGCTCTGGTCATGTGATGAAACTCGGCTGCGCTCAAAAGCCGCTCCAAGGACTGGGTGCCACCAATCAAGCTGCAGGAGCGAGTGGTCATAAAGCTCCTTTGGGAGGAGTGGATGGACATAGGAGTCGGTCGACGTAGTGGGCTAGGTCGATCTAGGTCATCTACGGTTTTTTCTTGCATAGTAGAAAGTGGATGCACAGTGAGAGATCTCACCCGTCTACCCCAAAAGAGACAAGTATCAGCTACTTGAAGCCCCTTTGAAGGACAGTCCCTACGGATCTGGATCGCTCCTTGGATCCAAGTGCTGTGTCAAATCCAATTCCACAAGGTCGTGACCCAAGATCTCACGAAGTCCTCGAAAGGCCCGGAGTCCGAAGTGCGGTGTCCTTTAGGAGGCTGTCAAATAATTGACACTTTGAACACTGAAAAGACACACATCAATCCGCCGGCCTGCCGGCGTGTTTTGTGGATTGTTTTGGTTAATATTGCTTGTGTTGGCTTCAATCTACGGTTTGTCTCTCCGCGCGGATTTTTCGACAGCCTGACACCCCCCCCGTTCAGTTCGGTAGCGAACTAAAAACAAAGGAAGTAGGGATACTTCTCTATATATCTATGGAGTGTGAATACACTTCTCGATTTGTGCGTGTCGAATCGAAATGCAACGCATCGGACTTTTGCTGTGACTTGAGCCAATTCGAAGGTGAAACTAGGCTGAAGTGCGAAAACAACTGAGGAACATGTTCAAGCAACCATCGTCTGTTTGTATTCCAACTTTCGTACTCTTCTTCTTGCTTGAACTGTATGCAACAACTGCTCAACCAACCACGCCGAATCCGGCACGAACACGGACAGGACCTTGGATGGTCCAATGACCTGACGTCAACATCTCGTGCAGTGACTTGGAAACGTAACCTGTGTGCTTCGTCAGCACATCAGCATGTAGTGCGTGGTCAAGTGACCAAACCTTCTCAAACGCCCCGACCTTCGCTCTTCGCGAATCGCTAGAATACCGAGTCGTTGCGACTTGTCAACCGGAACACCCTTCTGTCCTGTTGCAAGGTCGAACAAGTCCATGCAATCAACGTAAGCGTCTGTAGCAAGCCAGGGACGCAAGGAATCTGTAATGTGCAGCAATGCCATAGGAGTCAAACGGTCAGGCCACACATAACTCATCAAGTCTGGTTCACAGATCCTCATTGAAACTAGCTGAGCATTTGGAATCGCTCGTGCACAAGCGTGTGTTTCGGCATGCGACGTGCTGTGGCTAATCCTCTTGGATTTGGTTGAAGTGCATATCAACAAATGCATATGACCACCATGCACACCTGAAGTGCCATCGACCACAAAATCATGCTTGTCAACTTGTAGTGGATGCGCATGGTCTTCTGCCAACAACACACAGACACCTTCCGTGGCATAATCCGACTGCTTATTAGCCGCTGAAGCGTCAGAAACACATACCACGCGTAGTGGAGGAGTCAGCAAGCGAAAGTAGATTCCAAATCGTTCTCGATGTGAAGATCTCAGACGCTTGATTGCCTGGTTGGCATTGATCAGGTCTTTCACTTGAGGCTTTGAGAGCTTCTGCTGCAACGAAGTGATACAACTCAACTCATGGCAGTTTGTCTGACATGCCCAAAGTGCTCCACAAGTAAGAGACCTGAAGGTGGTCACATCTGCACCTGTCAAGAACTCATCTTCTTTCCGACTCTTGTCAATGTTTGCAAGGACCAGTTTACTGCAAAAATGATCCTGATGAAGTCGAAGTGTCCCGGAAGGCAAACGTTCAAGTTCTATACCCGTGTGGGTGTACGGCATGCGCTGTCGCTTGAGAGGTCCAAAACGTTTCTCTAACATGCCATGCAACCAAGTACGTTTTGCCAAACACCCTGTGACTTGCAGATCATCAACATGAGCTGTAAGCAACAATGTCAACTGCCACTTGTCGTCAACATATTCAACCCAATACAAAAAGTTTGAGTCAAACAATGACTTGTGTGCCCCACATTCCTCTTCAAGGTATTGCAACAATGCAAGTTGAAACATAAGTGGAGCATCCGAGAAGCCGTATGTTGCTTTGAGAGCCTTCAGACACCAATGTTCCCTTGAGGCATCCGGAACTTTCAAATATTCGGGAGCGTCCGACATTCGTCTAAAATGTGACCACGCGTTTTCCGGCGGAACCACGCAGACCGATCGAAGCGCTTTCTGTTCGAAACCTAGCTGTCGTGACAACCGTTCCAAGTCCTCATACCTCAGACCTTGAAGAAACGCGCACGAGATGTCAAGGGATTCAGTATCGATGTCATCTCCCCAAATGAGCCCCTCAACCATGCCAAGTGACAACACTAGACGCTGTGACAATCTGCTCGCTGTACTGCTATGGCGATCTATGAGATGCTTCTGACGATCGAAGCAGCCTCGAGCGCACATTCTAGACTTTACTATCGTCGGTCGTTGCTTCCACTTCCGAACCCAAACACAATCCACAATGTTGCTGTTTGCTGGAAGATCAGAACGTTTCATGCCTTCAAACACTGAATGCTCAACGAACTGATGCAACTCTTTGAAATCTGCAATGTGAACTGTTTCTGAAAAATCAATGAGTTCCTGCTCTGTCAAATTAGCCGTGTCATCATCGACCCGTAAAATCTCCAATGTGTTCACATCTACCAAATACTCAGCAAACCCTTCATGCGGCGACACTGAGTTCCACATGGCTCGAAATTCCGGAAGGAGCGAAACGAGCATGTTGTGTGCTTGCTGGTGTTCAGACACAGTATCTGCATAATATGGATTACTATCTTTATGGTGTGTGAACAAGAAAGAGAAAACATTACCTTGCTGAAAGTTGCCATCGAAAGCAGAGACTCTGGACGTCCCTGTGAAGCTCTGAGGTCCTTCCAGCTCTTCATCTTTATACTCCACAGTGGCATCAGAGTGATCTCTGTAGTCCACCGTGGCATTGGAGTCATTCACGGAGGAATCAAGCGGTTCAGCCATGGATGGTTGCAGTGTTTCTCCATCCGTAGGAGGCTGAAGTGCTCTTTGTTCTTGTGAGGAAGATGCCGGCTCGTTTGAAGAAGCAATAGTCCTGGTGGATCATCATCATCTGTTCTGCGATGTTTGACTGCGTCGCCTTCATCATGCGAGCGGTCGAGTTCTTGCTTCTTGTATTTGTCTTTTGTCTCTATGGTCACTTCTTGTGGTGTTGGTGTGTCGGATTGTGGTAGTTCTGGTGTTGGTGCAGTTGAATGTGGTAGTTCACGTCTTGTGACTTTTGTAGTGGATGAGGTCAGTGGAAGATTTGAGAGTGGTTGAGCTTGTTGCAGAGGTGGTTTATCTCTGACAGTGGAAAGTGGTTTCTGCGGTGATGGTTGTACTGGTACATGCATAGAAGTGTCGTTGGTAGTTTGTATTGGAAGATGGTCGTAGTTCTGGAAGTGATGGAAAGTGCGGTTGTTGTGGTAATCGCAAAGGCTGTTCTGCAATGGCTTGTGGTGACGGAGGTGATGGTGGCGGACCATCATTGTATGTAGGTGGTGCTTGTAGTTCTGGTAGTGTGGACTCGTCTTCATTCATGCTTTCTTCTGTCACTGGCGGCAAAGTGGCTGGTGGTACAAATGGTGGCTGTTGTGGTGCAGATGGCGCTGATGTACTTGATGAAGTGAAAGGAAATGGTGGTTGTTGTGGAGCTGGTGGAACGCTTGGAGGTGGTGCTTGTGGAGGATCGAACATGCTGTGGTCTTGTGGTGCATGAGGATGTTCTGATTCCATTGATTCCTGATCGCTGTCGGAGTCAGGTGGAATGGAGCGTGGATCGATGCTGGAGATGTCGTCCCAGTCTATCGTTTCTTTCTTCACTCTTGGATCTTCTGCTGCTTCACGATACGTGTAAAGAAACAGTGTGCTCCATCCTTGATGTGGTGCAAAAGTCTTGGTGGCGCTGAGGCGAAGTTGCGTCAGCTCATATTGGTGCGGAGTCACTCTGTTCCATCGCAGCAATAGACCTTGAGAATGTTGGCGTGGACATGGAATGCGACGAAGGTCAGTGCCATAAAGCAGACCATGTATTTGGCCTAGATGTTGCTGAAGGTCTGATTGCTCCACAGCGCGGTAGACAGGGTGCTTCACAAACTCTTGGAAAGTTGGCACCCATACACCAGTGAGATCTTCTTTGACTTTGTAACCAATCCAGATGCATTTGCCAGGAGGTGTCGCATCGATCAGCTGCTGCAAGATCTTGTAGCTCTGTGGAACAGCAGGTTGACGAATCTCGCCTTTGGCCGTGAAGTGAAAAGTCACACTTGTGTCATCTGTGTGGGCAGACAGAACTTCGTTGAAGTAGTCCATTGCCACATGCCTTCGAATGTGATTGAGAGGCAGCACAAGTGGTTGTCCTTGATGAACAACTATTGCTGTTCCCGTCATCCGTTGCACAGAAACAAGCTCAGCTGGACCATGCCATCCATAGTCGTCTTTTCGATGTGGCTGTCGATAGATGTCAACAGTCATACCTGGAATGAGGAGACTGAGGTCATGCTTCTGCTGTTTTGTTCTTCTTGCAATAGCGAAACGTTCACCAACAACAGCTTGCAGGATGGCTTGTTTAGCCAGGAGGCGACCTCGAATAGCTTGCTCTGCAAAATCAGCTCGAACATCCAATGCACCTGTGTGAGACTGCAATTGTGCACAGTCCATGTTCCAGTATTCTCTGGGATTCACGCCAGTGACTGCTGTTTGAGGTGTCACACCACCTTTCTCCAGTAATGCATTTTGACACATGGTGACTTCATTGATGATGTCGTCGTAGGAAAGGTTCAAGCCTTCTCGTCGAGAGGCTTCATGCAGGATCAGCATAGAATGCTTGGTCAGACCAATGTGTCGTTCAATCAGCCCTGTTGAATGATATGCTGCTGTCCCAACAAAGGTTCTTGTAATGCCCAGTCGCTCACAGAAAACGGTGGCTTCAGCGCTGCCGAGTCC